CCCCAAAACCCCAAAACCCCAAAACCCCAAAACCCCAAAACCCCTCGGAGAAGATTATTTATTGACAAGCTCGGCTATAATTTTAAGTTAAATTTATAAATAATGCTATCAGGAACTTATATGTGCATGACTAACCAGGAGTCCTCCAACGATTTCACTGACCCAACGCTCAACTCTGAAGAAAGGACTGAAGAGAGCGTCCATGAGGAATACGTTCCAAGTGATGTAAAGAATACAACCTTGAAAAGAAGGAAAGTTGGCAAAGTATCTAAGTTACCAGCTAAATCGTACAAGAAGACTCCTCAGCAAATTGCTTTCTTGGAAGAGCAATTTGTTAAGGATCCTACTTGGAATAGGAAGACTGTCCAGTTCTGTAAGAAAGCTCTCAATCTTAGAACGGATCAGGTCTATAAATGGGGATTTGATAAGAAAGCTGCTTTGACGAAGGAAAATAACTCTGCTTCAAATCCGTTGAATAATAGAGAGCTTGGACTTAAAACAAGGAAAGAAATCTTTTTGCATAGCAACCTTAATAGCTACGTCGAGGAAGTCATCAATGGATTTGGCTCTGAAGGAGGACTTATATCTTTAAATGAATTATCTAAGGAAGTTAATTCTCCAAAAGTTTCAAATTTTGCCTCTTCTTTATATTCTAAAGGGTATATTTCACCCAAAGTTAGATCGGGAAGAACAACACTTCGTGATTGTAAAGGTTCTGGAGATACAGTTAATAAGCCTGTTGGAGAATACTCCTTGGTTTGTCCTATGACTTCTCCACTTGCTGGCTGGGAGTCTACTAATTGAAATCAGATTCCAAGCGTTCCACAGGAGGTCCTCTTAGGTCCAAAGGCAACTAACGAGCCGACAAACCATACTCAGCAGGTTCTGTCATTTGAATACCAAGACTCTAGCCTCGGAATGGACAATTTTCTTGAGGAACCCTTCAGATTCTTCTGCTAGATCTGGATGCCAGATCTAATTAGAAAATATCTGAGGCTGTTCTTCCCTACCGGGAAGAATTACTGACAATTTATTTTAATTGACCACATAATAATAATATTTCTCCAATCGTCTTTACTGGAACGGGGTTTTGGGGTTTTGGGGTTTTGGGGTTTTGGGGTTTTGGGGTTTTGGGG